GCTGTGTTGATGTGCACTTAAAGTCATGCTGTACCCATTTTGCCCAAATATACAAGGAAAGTAATGGGAAAGGGTGCTCCAAAGATACAAGTTAATACTTTCTCTCAAGGTTATAAAATGTTGAGCAACACCAAATTGGAATCAGTTTGGGTGCATCATTGAGGTATTAACAGGGATGGGTCATCTCAAGAATAACATAATGAAAAATATATTCATTCCATAACTAAGAAAATAAGTCTGTAAAATTTGTATTGGTTGTTCTTGTTGTTAGTCGTGAAGTCGTGTCCAACCCATTGCAACCCCATGGACAACATTCCTCCAGGCCTTCCGGTCCTCCACCATCCCCCAGAGTCCACTCAAGCTTACAACAACTGCTTCAGTGACTCCATCTAGCCACCTCATCCTCTGCCGCCCCCTTTTTCTTTTGCCATCTATTGTTCCCAGCATTAGGCTCTTCTCCAGGGAATCCTTTCTTCTCATTAGGTGGCCAAAGTATTTGAGTTTCATCTTCAGTATCTGGCCTTCTAAAGAGCAGTCAGGGTTGATCTCCTCTAGGACTGACCGGTTTGATTGCTTTGCGGTCCAAGGGACTCGCAGGAGTCTCCTCCAGCACCACAATTCAAAGGCCTCAATCCTTTGGCACTCAGCCTTCCTTATGGTCCAGCTTTCACAGCCATACATTGCAACTGGGAAAACCTTAGCCTTGACCATACGCACTTTTGTCAGCAGGGTGATGTCACTGCTTTTTAGTATGCTGTCTAGATTTGCCATAGTTTTCCTCCCCAGGAGCAAGCGTCTTTTAATTTCTTGGCTGCAGTCCCCATCTGTGGTGATTTTGGAGCCCAGGAAAATAAAATCTGTCACTACCTCCATTTCTTCCCCATCTATTTGCCAGGAAGTGAGAGGACCGGATGCCGTGATCTTAGTTTTCTTGATGTTGAGTTTCAAGCCAACTTTTGCACTCTCCTCCTTCACCCGCATCAAGAGGATCTTTAGTTCCTCTTCACTTTCTACCATTAGAGTGGTATCATCTGCATATCTGAGGTTGTTGATATTTCTCCCAGCAATCTTAATTACAACTTGTGATTCATCTAGCCCCGCCTTTCTCATGATGTGCTCTGCATATAAGTTAAATAGGCAGGGCAACAGTATACAGCCTTGCCGAACTCCTTTCTCAATTTTGAACCAATCAGTGGTTCCGTGTCCAGTTCTCACTGTTGCTTCTTGACTCACATATAGGTTTCTCAAGAGACAAATAAGATGGTCTGGTACTCCCATCTCTTTAAGAACTTGCCACAATTTGTTGTGATCCACACAATCAAAGAATTTAGCATAGTCAATGAAGCAGAAGTAGATGTTTTTCTGGAACTCCCTTGCTTTCTCCATGATCCAGTGTATGTTGGCAATTTGATCTCTAGTTCCTCTTCAAAATTCTGCCTGTACTTCTGGTAGTTCTCGGTCCACATACTGCTGGAGCCTAGCTTGTAGGATTTTAAGCATAACTTTGCTAGCATGTGAAATGAGTGCAATGGTGCAGTAGTTTGAACATTCTTTGGCATTGCCCTTCTTTGGGATTGGAATGTAAACTGACCTTTTCCAATCCTGTGGCCACTGTTGAGTTTTCCAAATTTGCTGGCATATTGAGTATAGCACTTTTACTGCATCATCTTTTAAGATTTTGAACAGCTCAGCTGGAATACTGTCACCTCCACTAGCTTTGTTGTTGCTCAGACTTCCTAAGGCCCATTTGACTTCACATTCCAGGATGTCTGGCTTGAGGTCAGTGACCACCCCATCGTAGTTATCAGGGACGTTAAGGTCTTTCTTGTATAGTTCTTCTGTGTAATCTTGCCACCTCTTCTTAATCTCTTCTGCCTCTGTTAGGTCCCTGCCATCTTGGTCCTTTATCATGCCCATCTTTGCATGAAACGTTCCCTTCATATCTCCAATTTTCTTGAAGAGATTTCTGGTCCTCCCTATTCTATTGTTTTCTTCTATTTCTTTGCACTGTTCATTTAAGAAGGCATTAATTTCTTCTAGTTATTCTCTGGAATTCCGCATTCAATTGGGTGTATCTTTCTCTTTCTCCCTTCGCTTCACTTCTTTCCTCAGCTATTTGTAAAGCTTCCTCAGACAGCCATTTTGCTTTCTTGCATTTCTTTTTCTTTGGGAAGGTTTTAGTTGCTACCTCTTGTACAATGTTGCGAACCTCCGTCCATAGTTCTTCAGGCACTCTGTCTATCAGATCTAATTCCTTAAATCTATTTGTCACCTCTACTGTATATTCATCAGGGATATGATTTAGGTCATACCTGAGTGGCCTAGTGCTTTTCCCTACTTTCTTCAATTTAAGCCTAAATTTTGCAACAAGAAGCTCATGATCTGAGCCACAGTCAGGTCCTTGTCTAGTTTTTACTGACTGTATAGAGCTTCTCCATCTTTGGCTGCAGAGCATATAGTCAATCTGATTTCTGTGTTGACCGTCTGGTGATGTCCATGTGTAGAGTCGTCTCTTGGGTTGTTCGAAAAGAGCGTTTGTTGTGACCATCGTATTCTCTTGACAAAATTCTACCAGCCTGTGCCTTGCTTCATTTTGTACTCCAAGGCCAAACTTGCCTGTTATTCCAGCTATCTTTTGGCTTCTTAGTTTAGCATCCCAATCCCCCATAATGATAAGGACATCATTTTTTGGTGTTAATTCTAGAAGGTGTTGTGGGCCTTCATAGAACCCATCAACTTCAGCCTCTTCAGCACCAGTGGTTGGGGCATAGACTTGGACTATTGTGTTGTTGAATGGTTTACCTTGGATTCGAACTGAGATCATTCTGTCATTTTGGAGATTGTATCCCAGTACTGCTTTTCCTACTCTTTTATTGACTGTGAAGGCTACTCCTTTTCTTCTGAGAGATTCTTGCCCACAGTAGTATACCTGATGGTCATCTGAATTAAATTCACCCATTCCTGTCCATTTTAGTTCACTGATTCCTAAGATGTCGATGTTCAGTCTTGTCATCTCTTGTTTGACCACATCCAGCTTGCCTTGATTCATGAATCTTACATTCCAGGTTCCTATGGAGTATAGATCTTTGCAGCATTGGACTCTCCTTTCCCCACCAGATACATCTGCAACTGAGTGTCCTTTTGGCTTTGACCCAGTCACCTCATTCTTTCTGGCGCTACTAGTACTAGCCCTCTGCTCTTCCCCAGTAGCATATTGGACACCTTCTGAGCTGAGGGGCTCATTTTCTGGCATCATGTCTTTTTGCCTTTTGGTACTGTCCATGGGGTTTTCATGGCAAAGATACTGGAGTGGGTTGCCATTTCCTCCTCCAGTGGATCACGTTTTGTCAGTATTGTATTGGTAGTAAAGCTTTAAATATTGAAATGAATGGGGTACCAAAAATCTGAACAATGTAACATGAAATCTTAGTGTCCTTTCTAAACATGAACAGAGACCTGGCCTAATCCAGCTTGCTGGGCTGCCCCATCCAACCCACAATACTCCTGGGGTTCCTCCTGTTTCAGATCAGAGATAATCAGAGATTCCCCTACATTCTGCTCTCCAGTTGGATGCAGGCAGCAGGATACAGGTGAAGAGGGACTCTGTTGGTATAGGAAAGAGTAAGTATTCTTCCCCATGCAAAGCCCAAGGCTCTGAGAGCAGGTTTACATCTTGAGCAGTCCTCAATACATCAAAGACTTCTTAACATATTTCCTATTCCTATAATTGTAAACTAACCATGGAACTAAAAAAAAAATGCAAAGTGTAAACATAACAAGATACATGTGGATGACTTTTCAGATATCTTTCACATTCGAATTGCCTGGAAGGCCATAGTGTGAGTTCACTCAGTAGTTAACTTGAGTTTAGTTCCTGTGCAATAAGTGAAAGTATCCTTTACACAGATATTCAACTGAAAATTACTGTGACTTCCACATAAATGTGGTTATGCAGTGCTACAAAATTCTGGGAACCTTAATGAGACGAAGTTCATCTAACCAGCAACAGATGGTGCCTTCCAAATGGTTTGGATTACAAGTCCCATGGATCTTGACCATTGGCCATGCTGGTTATGGGAGCTGTACTTCAAAATATCTGGTGGTCAGACATGGATTTCAGGTACCTGAAGGGCAAGAAAAAAAACAAGGACCCAGTCCACTGTGTAAAACCAACAGCAGAATACAGAAACAAAGAACTGTAGGGCTTGAATGGGGACTGAAGGTGTATGTTCTTTTCCTAGATGCAGACTCCTCCAGAACCCCATTTCATGACTGCAGTAGCCCAGTCATACAGACCCATATCTGATGGGATCTCTTCATGCAAAATCGGGGCCTCTATTAGGCTAGAATAGCTCACACACATCACACAGAAGAGCTTACATATGTACACTGGGACACACAAAGCCATTTTGTCCAGCACAAACCTATGGTGTGGGTATGGTTGTAAGGTGGCCATTTATGAAACCACATGCACTCAAAGAAATGCATCACAAAAATAAAAGGGGCCCATATTTGCATTACATATAAAAATAGAAATTATAATCTAAATAGATAAGCAGGGCCTTTCACCATAATGTGAAAAACCCTGGCACAGCCTGAGCCTTGCTTGGGCTGCTGCGGGCTCAGTAACTTCAAGGCCCAGCTCTTCCTTCTGGTAGCTTTTTATCTTCATAATGGACTTGGATTGGATATCCCAGCAGAGGATGCTTTCAAAACAGAGAGCATTCCACTGACAGCCCTTCAAGTAGAGGACTGAACATCACAACCACCTTTGGAGACTACAAAAGCTCTTCTTGCATGTTCTTAGAAAGCAGGGCAAGTCACCTGAACGCTTCTATGGCTACTATGAAAAGTTTCCAAAGCACCAGTTCTGTGTTTCTTTCTCCTTCCACCCTCCTCGTAGGATTTTGGAACCCACCACTTTAAAACCACTTGCTCAGTTTCACACCCCCTGCCAGTGCTGGAAATTGGAGGTTCAGAGATACTACAGAAGCCAGGTGTTTGTTTCTCAGAAATTTTATTAAATGCTTACAAAACAATTCCAGGTCACACAGAACCTAGCAGGTGAAAGCAAAAGAAAAGAGAAAACAGGAAATTATCTAGGCTCTTGAGATGCAATATTCCAGTCTTAGGAGAACAGAAACAGGCTATAGTGGCCCATTTTGTTTTGGTTTAGGGGAAGGCAAATAGTATTTAATACTTGGCAGGTAAAGAGATGCATTGATCTATTTCAAGGCATGGGACTATTTGCATGAGGTCAGCTTCTCCATGCAAGCATTAGCAGCCATTTTTGAAGGTTTGGCTGGGCTCCAGGAGATGCCCTTCGTGACAACAAACAACTTTGCCAGAACTACCACTGCACTCCCTTCAAGGCAGAAATGGTTCCGTGGTGAGGGCAGAGGCCACTTGGTCTCCAATGTGCTCTGGGCCGCAACTCAGGCTCAGGCCTGCATCCTACACCCACTCACAAACCATACCTCAGAGCACTAGATCTCCATGTTCCAGTACCTCCATGTTCCAGTACAGCTTAGTTTAAACTGTTATGCCCAAAGAGGAGGGAACCCTGTGCCTGAATACAGAAAGGAAGCTTCAGGGTTTGCACATCTGAACTAGCTATGGCAGGAGAAAGCAAGGAAAGCCAACATTTGCAATACACGTTGTAGGTCAGGCAAACACTTTGGGGTCCTATGGGGAGAGGGCAGATTTCCTGAAGTGTTTCTTGGCCATGTGATGATCAGCCCAACTGAAATAGTGCAAGGGAGTTTGTGAGAAGTCCTTCCATGAGAGCATCAGTCATAAAGTAGAAACTTTCCTCCTTTGACTGAGCAACCTTTTTTTTATTCAGAGGACCAAACTGTGGGTGCGTATATTATATTTTCTACTTATTTAATCTTTAAAAGTTCAGAACAGTAGTATGAGATGAAATGCATCTCCCACCATAAAAAAAAGCCATCAAGTTACAAGCAGTAGTTGAGGTACTGGCCCCCATTGCCATTTTGATGATGGATGGATCTTTAGAATTGACTCATAACTCCCCCCCTCCAAAAAACGGTATACTAAAGTTCCTTCCTGGTTATTTATACAGCGTAGACAGAAAGGCCCACCTATTTCTCCTAGCCAAGCCTAGGTGCAAAATTTGGAAATTAAGGGCACAGAACAATATGCAAGTTAATTTCCTTAAGAGAACAAAAGGCCAATCTAGGGACAGTTTTTTAAAAAAAGTTAAATGTCAGGAGGAGTTGAAGTTATGTCCAAGTCCAAATGAAGGTTAACTTGGAGAGATTCTCCCATCTGTGAAGAAATCTGTAGCTAGCATGAAAGCAGGCTGCCCTTTTGCGCAAGGCAGGGAAGACATCCTTTGAATATCGTTCTTTTTTAGCAGAGGAAACAGCGTTGCACAGAAATACTGCCTCAGGTGATCCATCGAAGACCAAGCAGAGCTGTAAATCAAACACAAGCAATATGGCGTCATACAGCTATATTTATTTTATTTATTTATTTATTAAAACATTTCTATGCCGCCCCTTGCCAAGGCCTCGGGGCGGCTTACAACATCGAATACAAAGTACATTAAAACAATGACAATTAAAATATATACAGTAAAATAAAATAAATACAGTAAAATAAAATAAGCCGCCCTGGCCGAATAAAATTCAATAATATTAACATTTAAAATGCTGCATAAATAAAAAGGTCTTCGCCTGGCGCCGAAAAACAAATAACGACGGCGCCAGGCGGACCTCTCTGGGGAGCGCATTCCATAACTTAGGCGCCACCGCTGAGAAAGCCCTCCTCCGAGTAGCCACCCTCCTAATTTCCTTCACTGAGGGCTCCCGGAGGAGGGCCTCTCCTGCTGATCTCAAGGGGCGGCTGGGCATATATGGACATGGGCATATATATAGAGAGAAAGAAGGGGTTTTCCAGAGTGGATGGTCCAGTGCTTAACACTAGAAACTTTGAAGTATAGTTCCCATCATCCCTGCCCAGTAGGGCCCCTGCTCTGGGACAGTAAGAGTCCAACATCTGAAAGGCACAAGTTGCTCATTCTGGCTTACTCTGACTGCCAGTGATTCTTCAGGGTTTCAAACAGGTCTGTCCCAGCCATAGCTGGAGAAGCGGACACTGAAGCAGGCGCTGTCTGTGTGCAAAGCAGCTGCTCTGCCATTGTGCTGCGGCCCCGATCCCCCACTTTCTGAGCAGGGAAGGTAGAGTAGCAAAGAGGCTAAAGCTGTGATGTAGATGCACAGCCCTTCTTCCCTTCAAGTAGCCAAATAAGCCGGAGGCAATCCCATAGAAAACAATCCCTGTTTCACAGCAAAACGGGTGACAGTTGCGCTCCTCGAAAGTGGAGAATGTCACATCAGACCTTCCTGGTACTTATCTAGAAAGCAATCAGTCCCTCAGAGAAAAGAAGGGTTTCGGAAGAGTTTCGGGTGTATCAACTTGGTTAGCTGCCACTTTCTAGCCTGCAGGAAAGGAGGTGTTGCTAGCTGGTTTCTATGCTGCCAAATCTGCTCAGAAGTGATTAAGCTGCTTCAGAACATTTTAAAACAAAACTTTAGAACAACAAAAGCAAGATCAAAACTGTTGGAGCTGTGGCTAAGGATGAGATTTCACACTCTTTATAAAGGCCAAGATAGTGGCGGCCAACTGTAGTTCTCAAGCAAGCACATTCCACAGTTTGGGGGCAACACAGAGAAAACCCTTCTATACATGTCCAACCAGTAGGTCTCTCTGAGTATTAATGCCCTCAAAGGACCTTTCCTGAAGATCTTAATGTCCAGGCAGGTTCAAAGCAAGACAAGCAGCCCCTTAGATAGCCAGGCCCTGCACCTAGCATGCTAAGAGGTCATCCACAGCATGGCTGAGAATCCATTCAGGGAGCCCCCTGCTCTTTGCTGCTATTTTCTATTCTTGCCTCTCAGGCCCACTGTGAAACATGCAGCCTGCATGTGGAGCCTCAGAACAGCTATTTTTTGCTCACACAGCTGCCATCAGCATCTGATCTTTGCCTGCAGCAAGCTCTTCCCCTTTGGAGAGCCCCCAAACTCACTGTTGGGAGTCCAGGCCCTCTGATTTTACAAGCTCCTCTTTTAACATTTTTCCAGTGCCCCAGACAGCATTTGCCAGGTGGCTTTTATGCTGTTTGGGAGCAGGGTGATGTCCTTTAGTCTGTGGTCAGAAAAGGAAACACACACACTCCAGCACCCCACAAAAATAGGCACAGAAACAGAAGCTGTTCTCACTAAGTTACCCACTGACCACTGCAAGTCTTCTACTTCATTGCACTGCGAGGGGCACTATGAAACGGCAATAAATGCATATTAACACTGGCAGATTTCTCTCCTTCCGCAATGGCAGCAACAGGAATACAGGAGCAGAGGCAGCTGCCTTGTATGGGGTCAGACTCTTGGTCCATCAAGCCCAGTGTTGTTGGCTCTGACCGGCAGCAAAGGCTCGCCAGGGTTCCAGGCAGGAGTCCTTCCTAGCACTAACTGGAGAAGCTGAGGATTGGCTGTGGGAGCTTCTGCATGGAGAACAGGGGTCTAAAGCCTCTTCCTTTTCCCTCTTCCTCAGGACACTGGCCCAACTAGGAGCGCATGGCACTCTTATACTGTGTAACGGACATCCTGATCAGTGGACAGCCATCCATTGTCCTCGTCTTCCTTAAATCATGGGGAGGGGAAAGCCTTTGTCAACGCTAGGGATGAATGGCTGTGCCTGTTTTGCTTTCTCCTGCCTTGGATTTCTTTTTTAACCTCAAGTTCTCTCCATCCAAGATGAGAAGACCTTTGTGAATGTTGGCAAATTACGATCGAAAGCAAACTGAAATGCAGCTCTCAGCCGTCCTCAGTCTTGGAAAAGCAGAGGGGTGACAGTTTTACCACAGCAGCTGGGCTGCAGCGGCACAAGATCAAGTTTCTTTGCATCTCCCTCGTCTCTCCAAGCAGAACAGCTGCCTCTGTATTTGACTCGATGCTTGCAAACCCTTTCTCCAGCTCGCAGGTTTTTCCCTCTCCTAACCTGGCACTCTGATCTTCTAAAGCTAGACATATAGGCTTATTGAAGGCTTAAGTGCAAAACTGACACACAGCAGCACTTCCCAAGCAGCAAAGTGATTTGGCACTGGCTTAAAAGAAATGCTTGTTAATCCCTGGCCTTTTCACGCTTCTCTTGCTTTCATTAAACTTCAGTGTGCCAGAGTCCCATACTATGCAAAGTCCTGGAGAACTTACTCAGCTACGTAGCCATGATCGGTCATTAAAAAAATGGCTTAATTCAGCAAAAGACCACCCAAAATGCCAGTGGGCATTTTTTCCCCCTTCTTTTTTGTTCAGGCATGTGCAAAGGATTCAGAGCAAGAACTGATGGGGGTGGGCACCGGCCTTCCAAGTCTGCCACATGATTTCAAAGAAAAGTTAATGAGAGCATCGACTATAGCCTTGGCTCAGGAACATGAAAAGTGATATTAAGCAAATCTGGAGCTGAAAAACAAACGTTTCCGTCACACAGATTTACAGTTTGGCCAGGCTGGAACTGGAAAATGTAAACAGGCTCTCAGAATAACTGTAGAGAGGGTTTTATACAGACAGAGAGATGCCTAGATGCAAATAAAAGACTGTATATGAGGGGATGAGGATGGGGGCAGCGGCAGCTGGAAACAGCCAATGTTCTATATATCTTAAAAGCCTTAGAAAAAGCTGGTGCAAGGAGCTTTTCGGGCCTGTTGGCAGTAACACTACAGTCACAGAAGCAGAGTTGGACGTGACCTTGGAGGTCTTCTAGTCCAGCCCTTTGCTCAGTGCAGGGTGCAGGCACAGCATCCAGGGAGATGACCTCCATAGAAGGTTTTTTGCTCCTTCTTAAATAGCCCAGAGTCTATTTAATTATTGGGTAGAACAGAAGTGTAATAACTTAATAGGCCAGTTAAGAGATTACTTCAAATAAAGTATATTCCTACATTGGCTTCTAAGGGGATAAGAAAAACATTAAAGATTTTGCATTCTCTTCAGATTATTTTGCTATTAGCAATTGGTGTCTGAATGACTCCACATGAATAAACATGAATGAATATGAATATGTTGTGAGCTGCCCCGAGGCTTCGGCGAATGGGGCGGCATAGAAATGTTTTAAATAAATAAAATAAACGTTACAAAGCCAAATCTGCAGCTCAAGGGGCTACCTCCTGTCCCTTTAAAATAAGCCTGGGATTCAGTTTCATCTTATGCAATCTGATTTGGAATGGACAGAAGATAAAATTGAGATTACTATAAATCACTAATCAATTTGCAGTTGATTACAAGGGCTTTCAACTCCCAACCATCTTGGCAATAGCAAGTTAAAGGCTCCCCAACAGTCCACCCACAAAAAAGGCTATTGGAATATTTGATCTGCAGTAACTGAGATGCAGAGTTGGACTTATTTAGTATAAGGCTCATGGAATACAGTTGGTTATTGGCTGTTACCTGAGCTGCCCTTTTGCAGTGGCCCTTCAAGCCCCTCCCCGCAAAAGAAAACCTACTAGATCCCACAAACCTAAAATCTGTCTAGACCCACTGTAATTGTTTGCCGTTCTTACAAAGTTGGATGAATACACCGTCAAGCATCTTGAGCAGCTAGGGAAGAGGAAACACAAGTGGACCGTGTCTCCCATTCTATTCTGTAGTATCTGAAAGAGGGGAGAGGGCTCAGCCTGCATGCGCTGGGGACCACAATCCCAAGGAAGGACTGATGTGCATGTTGGCCTTTGATGTTTCAAATGCAGCAGGCTACCCTCAGGGACCGCTTTTGTGCTTCGCAGTCAGTAGCACCTGTGCTGTGCAGCAGGGTTTCTGTGCTACCTTCTAGGTTATACTTGACCTCTACCAAGCTATACTTTGCCAGGCTGCATGTACACACACACACACACACACTGAGCACAATGGCAGCTGCTTGCACATGGCTGTTCTATTTGGCAGGCCATCCTCCCACATGGAGGCCGTCCGCACGGTACTTGCAGTTTTCATCAGGCCTTCTTAAATCTCTTTGGCATTTGCCTCCTCCAGTTTGCTGAGAAGCTACTTCATGTGAATAGTTAGTCATATGAGAAGTTGTGTGTTTCAGGCATTTTCCAGCCACTGGATTTCATGACCACACGGGCCTTAGAAAGAAAATTTGGACAAATGATTCTTCAGAGAGTCCCCTTTGAGCAGCCCACAAAGTTATCCTTCCAGAGGAGTTATGAGTGTGAGCTGAAAGGTAAACTGCAACCTAGGCAAATTCCACTCCAGTCACTTAAGCGGACTCAAGTGGAAACATCTGTTCTCCGTATCAAAGGCTGAGAATGTGAATTAAGCAAGCCAGGCTTTTCCATCACTGAGGCTGCCTTCCTTCTCCCTAGAGGACCTGCTATAAACTGAGCAATGAGTTTTGGCTTGCAAGTCACAGCAGCTGAAATAAG